AATGCTCAATTCTTTCTTCCGCCTTTTAAAATTCAGTTTTCAAGACAATGAATCAATCCTTTATTGTTCTCTGAAGGTGACAAATATTTTTAAAATAACCTTATAAACTCATGAATTTATGTATTTGCTGGGTCTCTAGGCACTGCAATTATTCTTTTTTTTAAACATAAAATTGCCCTTTTTAAAATTTTCTACTAGCTTATTTACAAAATTAAAATATATTGTTTTCAAGAACAGATTCTTTCCGTTTCCCTCACCCCCACATCCATCAAACTGTACAACTCCATGATTAATCTCCCCTCCCCCCGCACATCTTTATCCCTCTCTGCATCCACCCTCCCCCACCCCTCTTGGATCCTTATACTCATTCTACCATAATGGTTTTATAAAATATTTATCCTTGTGGGACTGAGTTATTTCACTCAGCATAGTGCTCTCCAGTCCCTCCCAAGTTAGGTAATAATTTACAAAATCATTGCTCCTGTGTGCTGCATAGTATTCCATTGTGTAAATGTATCAGAATTTCTTTTCCATTCATTTGTGGTTGGACATTTGGGCTGTTTCCATGTTCTTGCAATGGTGACTAATGCTGCTATGAACATTGGTGTACACATCTCCATTTGTGCCTCAGTTCTCGTTTTCTCAGGGTATATTCCAAGTAGTGGAATAGCTGGGTCGTAATGGCATTTTTATGTCCAGCTTTTTGAGAAAACGCCAACCTGCCTTCCAGAGTGGTTGTACTGCAATTATTCTTATTACTGAAGGTCACCCTGTCCCTGACTTGGCCAGCGGTAGCCTCCTCAAGCTGTCTCTTTGTTCTTTTTGGCATAACTTAGCAGTTTTCACAGCCTCCCTATCTGATGTTACAAGATGTTCCAAGCTTCTCTTGTGTATTTTCTGGCCCAGTCTTGGGAGCAGCCATTTCCCCAAGAAGTCCTAGTTCCCAAACTGGTTCCTTGAAAAAACTAATGAAGCAATAAACCTCTCTCAATGTGTAGTCAAAGACCCAAGCAACAGGCATAGTAAATGAAAACGGCACTTGACTATGAACACAATAAAGTCAATGGATTTCTCCTACTGAAGCCACAACTTATTCTAAATAAACATAAATTAAGGTAGTGTGGTATTGGGACAGGGGTAGAGAAAGAAGATTCCAGAAAGGAACCCCATGTGTGAGAGAACTTGATATATGTCTGGAGTGGCATTACGAATCACTGGAAGAAAATTAACAAGGCTCTAGGTGGTTCTTGAATGTTCAGATACCTTGGTAAAGTGATTATAAAAAGGTCCCTCTGATCACCATGCGTCCTGGGTCTGAGCTCAGCTCTGTGACCACTGGACGACGGGACAGGACTAAACGTGGCATTCACCTTCGCACAGCGAGGCTGATCTCTGTCATCCCTACAACCACCCAGCGTTAGTGACACAGCTCCCAGGTGCCACGGGGTCACCCACCAGAGGCAGCTGACCACTGCCAGATTCTGAGTCCAGCGGAAACTAGCAGAACGGCCCCGCCAAGTCCAGGGCAAGTGACCAACACACAGAAACAATACTTAAATAAAAGCTTGGTTTAAGCAATCATGTCTACATGGTTACATGGCAAATCTAATGAGATTGATATGACAAAGAGAAAATGCCCCGATTTCTAACCCATTATTGTTGCTTTGTGCCAACACGTCAACTACAACTCCCAGCGCCCCTGTGGGCAGCAGCTGTAAATCCTACTCTATCCTGAGCCAGTCTCACCATCTCTGACACACCTACCCCCTTCCCCCATTCACGGTGTCAATCCATCTCCTAGAGGGTCTTCCTCTTCTCCACTGTCCCTCCACTTTTCTGAGCATGACGTCCTTCTCCAAGGACTAGTCCCTCCTGGCAACAAACCCAAAGTATGTGAGACAGAGTCTTAAAATCCTTGCCTCCAAGGAGAAGCTTGGTTTCACCCTCTCTAGGACAGACTTGTTAGTTCTCCTGGCAGTCCATAGTATCTTCAACATTCCTCTCTGGCACCACAAATCAAAGGCATCAATAATTCTTCTGTCATTCTTGGTCATGACCAGCTCTCTAATGCCCAGCAAGTAACTGTGGAGACTGTGGTCTGGATTGGGTGTGCCTTAGTCTCTAGAATGACATCCTTGCTCTTCACTCTGGAGAGGTCCCTGAAAGCAGATTTTCCTAATGCAATTTGTCTTTTTATTTCCTAATTGCTGGTGGCAAGGGTGCTGATTGTTGAACCAAGCAAGCTGAAATTGTTAACAACTTCTTCTCCATCTATCATGGTGCTCTCCTCCTCCTCCTCCTCCTTCTCCTTCTTCCCTCTCCTCTCAAGCTCTCTGACCACCCACATCCAGAGGGTTCAAATCCACTGACTGCTCTGTGGGGGAAAGGTGGCTCATCTCCTCCCACGTCCCTTCAGAGCCTTTGAAAACTGGCTGGAGGGTCAGCCATGAGTCAGTTCCAACTCCACAGCACACAACAACAACAACTATATATACACATCCGCTGTCAGTAACACAAAAACCTTGAGGGGTTGTTGGGTTGGGCTGTTTTTATGAGGGCTGTTGGGTTTTTTGTGTGTGTGAAATACTGGTTTTTGCTGGTTGGCACAAGACTACAAACTCCAATGTCCTTTCCTCCCACACAGCTCAAACGGAAAGAAACTAACACACATAGAGGGACTGAGCACTCACACGTTTGAGCATTTGTCCTTACAGACGGGGTGGGCTATGAAGGTGGTAGGGTTTTAAGGGCAGTACCAAAGTCTCAGACTACAGGGCGGAGTGTCTGTCTCTGATTGTCACTGGCACCTCATACTGGATGCTTTCACGCAGAAGGTGACGCATGGCCAGTCGGCGCTCAGAGGGGGGAGTAAGACTCGCACCTGCTGTTCAGACGTCTTAGTCACACCTGAGGCTGGGCCCCAGTTCCAATTTCTTTCCAGCCATTTCCACAACCGGACTACTGTCCCACTGCCAGCTGCTGGTAAAACAAGTGGTTCATTCCCAGGAGAGAGATGTGAAGGAAGCCAGACACCTCCCTGGAGAAAACAAATGGGGAAACTCACTTTCCTTCAGCCTTCTCTGTACCTCAACGTCCCCCGTTGGCCCCTAGCACAGTGACGTCCTCCTGAAAAGCACAGAAAAGACCCTGGGAAGAGCAGAACCTGGGCCCGGAAAGCCAGCGCGGGAAGGAAAGCTTCATTTTCCGTGTAAGGCTGAAACCAAGACCATGCAGCCCTGGGCAGGGAAATTCCAGAGCCCTAGTGCACTGTGGCCGGGAGCAGCGACAGAATTACTAGAAAACTCTGCTTCCATGAGCAAGCGTCCAGAAGAGCCTTAAGGACTCAATCCACCCCACCTTTCCTCCAACTCCCATTCTCGAGATTCCTCAGTTCCACTGAGCTCAACTGCTGCTGCCTCTGCTCCAAGGATGACTCAGTCTGCTGGTTTATGCCATTTTCTGCTCTTTCTACAACAGGAAACACTCTGACAGACCTGTGGTTCACACACGGTAACTGTCGGACAAGGAGACAGGTGACATAATGGGAAAGGCGAGTTGTTTGCCTTTCTGGGTGGTCCTGATGGAGAGACACCACAATTCTAGGGCATCAGAGCCAACAGGTTTGAGCCACTGTGTCTCTGGGGCCTTCAGCCTCCTGATCTAGCTCGTCAGTTCTCTTGGTTTGTTTGTTTGTTTGATATCATATTAAAAATGCAGCCTTTACACACAGTTTTGTTAGGTGCTGTTGAGATGAGAATTTCTAGCAATCCTATGAATAACAGATCTGAGCCCTGCCCTATCCTGAGCCAATCTCAGTCTCTGACATACCTACTCCCATCACCCCAGTTACTGTGTCAATCCATTTCATCTGGAGTCTTCCTCTTCTGTGCATGATGTCCTTCTCCAAGGACTGGTCCTTCCTGGTACCATGCCCAAAGAACGAGAGACGGAGCTTCCAGATCCTTGCCTCCAAAGAGGAGCCTGGTTCCTCTCTCTGCAGGACTGGACTGTGTTCTCTTGGTGGCCCATAGGATTGTCAAGACTCTTCAACATATAGACACAAATTTAGTTCCTGGAAATGTTCACATTTATGTATAAGGAGATAGAAGACTGAAATGCCACAAACAACTGAAATGTCCATCTCAAGATCAGCTAATAATGTGTGAAGACCACATTTAGGACAGCGCACAGCTCTGTGGGCCGGGGAGGGAGCTGCACCGAGGGATGGATGCATGTGGGCTTCCTGGTATCTGCAATGTACTTCAGAAGCTAGAGGCTTGGTACAGAGAGTGTACAGTAAACCTCATTCATTATGTGTCTGAAAGGTGTCACATTAAACATAAAAAACCCATGTCATTATTAGATAATAAATCACAGGTCAACTCCAAGGAAAAGAGGCGATTTGGAACGAAGTTTAACTGTTTAAACTCGAGGGCACGAAACTGTCTCTCCCAGAGGCCACACACCAATCAGGGCCCACACGGCTGAGCAGCACCCCGAGATTCTGCCTCAGAGGCACTTTGCTTTCCTTCTGACAGAGCAGATGAAGAGCCAAGCTAAGAGATAAGGCACAACATAGAAAACTAAAGCGAGTGTTGCCGTGATGTGACGGCAAACAGAAGGAAAAGCGAGGTTTAAACACCGTGCCCCGAGCCCCTGACAGGCTCTGCCCTGTGGGCCCTCCAAGCAGAGTTCACTCCTGGCACAAGTGTGGTGTCCAGACTTCTCCGCCTGACAGATGGCTCTCACGTAGCCTTACATACAGCACTTTGCAGGGGACTGTACACAAAGCCAGCACCCTGTCCAGGACATCACACGTCCAGGTGTGGCTGGGTTTGCCGAGCAAAGAACAATGGATGAACACAAAGCTAAGAGGAGAGACGGAGATTCCTTCCAGAACAGTCCCTGTTCTGGCTCTCGGTCCAAGGTGAAGTCCAAGGGGAGGCCCTGGCGGCCTGGCCTTGGGCAGGGAGCCCGTGTTCTCCAGGTCACGTGCTCACTGGAACGCTGCCATGTCCTTCAGCCGTGCCAGCCTCTGCCATCGCCCCCACTCCTAAAGCTGCCTCCTGTCTGCCTCTGAGCGTCTGCTCTTTGCAGCTCATACATTTACAGAAAGGTGGGCAAATCCACTGGACGTGGGTTGTTCTTCCTCCCACTTTACTGCCTGCTCTGTCTATGGTGAGACACCTTCCACAGCGCACCTCCTGCTGCCTGGTTTCAGGGCTGCTTTGAAAGGTGTTTGTGGGCTTTTCCAACTGCCGTTGGCTTCTGGCGTGAGGACGCTTCTGTGGGGTCAGCTTTAACAGTCATCAGGACTCTCAGGGTCCTGGTCAGTTCGAGCCTGCACTGGGGCCTGAAGTCTGACGCCCTAGTTGGTGGAAGACTGAGGTGTGGAGTGGGGCTCTAACTCCACCTGGGCCTTTCCATGGGTGTGGATGTCACCTGAGCTCTTCTTGACCAGGAATTCTGCCATGTGGCTTTGTCCTCAAAGAAAGAGCCAGGGGAAACGAGTTTGTCGAGGCGTGTCCACAGTGGTCTGGCCACTGCCTGACCAGGGACAGGGACCCCAGGGGCAGTCTTATGGGGAGATCACGCCGGGTTGGACGTGCTGCCGACAGCAGTGCCCAGGTCCTGGAAGCTGAGCCCGCAAGTCAGCAGAGCACCCCTGTGTACCATGCTTACGGTCCCCCCATTCCAGCACCACGTGCCGTCTTTGAGCCACTCACAGCTTCCTAACTGTGTCCACAGAACACATGTGAACCCGGGTGTCCTTCCCCCAGGGCAATCCTGCAGCATCTTGGCAGGAGAAGGACGAGGCAGGCTCTGGTGACAGATGTGGAGAGCTGGGGTGGTTCACTGTGCCATCGCGCTGCCGTGGCTCGTGGCTCTGAGGTGGCACTGTTTCTGTGCCCAAGAAGCCACCCCTGCAGGAAGGTGCCAAGCCTTCAGAGTGTGTTTCCTTCAAGCCAGAGGGATGGGTAATCCTTCCTAAGGGCCAGCCGCCCACACTGACCCAGTGGGAGACAGATCCCCCCCCGCACAGCTCTAGAGACTGGAACCCACGGCCGCTGCAGCATCCTCGGCTGGTTGTTGTACTGCGGAGTGGGAACCAACGCAGAGCGGACCATCCAGGAGGGTTTCAGAGGCACTAAACTCCACGGCGGGAACTGCCCCCTTTCTCCCGGGAAGCAGCTGGTGGATTTGAACTGTGTCTTTTCGGGTTGGTGGAGCTAAGCCACATCTGTCCCTCAGCCAGGACCCTCTGCTGAAGTCATGAAGCCTGTCAACGGTGCTTCTCTCCTCGGCTGCAGGAGCCCTGGGTGAGATACGGGAGGGTCTGCAATGACACCCTGGCTGAGAGCATCGTCCCCTGTCCCTGCTAGTCCTGACTTCTTCCAGAGGACCAGCATCACTTCCGCCGAGCCAGGACCCAGGTGAGCAGCGCATCCCCGCCACAGGACCTAAAGGTACGGAGGGGAAGCCTCTTAACGAAGCTCGGCGCCACCTCTTCTGTGAAGCGACCAGAGAACAGCCAACACAGAACTTCTCTCCTGGAAAAACCAAGTTAGCCTGAATCCAGGGGAGGTGTTCCAATTCAAAGTTCTCCGCGATGTGACAGACGCTGGAGAGGACCCAGCTGCATGCCAACGCTGCGTGCTGGGTGCTTCCTGCACCTATGCCAGCCTGGCCTTGACCCATCAGACCTAAATGAAGGAGTGGGAGGTGGGAGGCAGCAGCTAGGCAGTCACCGCGTTCACCATGACCTTGTCTCCAGCATGATTGCGAGGTGTCTGCAGCTGTCAGAGCCACTGACCTGACCCTGACTCCCCGGGGGAAAACGAGGGAGAGGAAATTGGGTCCATGGGGGGGGGGCACGTGAGGCTGTCAGGAGGAGGTGGTTCTTAACCACAGCTGAGTACACTAACCACTGCACCACCAGGTGCACCCTCTGTGCACACAGTTGGGGTGAGGGGATCTCAGGCATCTTTAAAAAAAAAAACCAACCAAACCAGCAACACAACAAACCACCAATGTCCGACTTACTCCCGACACTGACCCACAATGTACTTTTTCAATGCTCTCCATGAGGCTGAGACTCCCACGGAACTGACATAAACTGGGCTCTCGACGGGGCGGGCAGCTCTGGTGGCCCAGCAGGCAGGGAGCTGTGCTGCCAGCGGGCAGTTCAAACCCACCAGCTGCTCCGGGGAGAAAGGCGGTCAGACTCCTGCTGGGGGGTCAGAGACGGGTCAGTTCTGACCCAGTGTCAACGACAGAGACAAGTGCCTTAACACCCCCTTCCTATTTTTGGGTGCTGGCTACAAAAATGAACCTGGTTTGCATTTGCTGTATGTTTATTATGCCTCGACCAAAATGTGAGATTTTACAGTAAAATACCAAGCACTCTGCGTTCTACAAACAAGCTGTGTTCCCAAGTCTTCAAGTTGAATTATATATAGGTAAACGGTAACAGATACAGCTCCTATGTGATCTATTGGTCAAAGATCTACCTTGTATAGGCTACCCAGTGTATCTTTTTATAGATTAAAAAGTTAAAACCTTTCCAGAGACACTAAAACATGTGTAACACAATGCAGAGATAATAGCCGTGTTCTGATGTGTGCCATTTGTTAGGAGCCTCAGTCGGCATCCTGACTTTGTAACATATTGGGCTTTATGGTGAAAGGCTTGTGACCGCAGACTGCGCTTATACCGGCTGTTCATCACCTGGGACTGGTAACAGTTTACAAAGTCTCTGCTGTTATTGTTAGGTGTCATCGAGTCAACCAGGACACAGTGCGACCTTCTGAGCCTTGCCCTGTCCTTGCCATGAACAGCCGTCTTCCCGACCTCTGATATGCACGAGCCCGTTATTGGGGGAAGGGGATGAGAACCACCAAACTCTACTCTCCTTCGAGCCCCTGACATGGGGGAAAGGGAGTACCTGGGCCTGGTCTTCACGACGACACACCTGTAACAGTCACACCTCGGGGTAACGGGCTCACTGAAGGACTGAGAGCCAACCACAAGGTAGAGTGCTTCCCTGCTGTCCACACTCAACACCATAGCACATCAACGTCACTGCGACCTGCCCACCTGAGCGCACACCTGAAGGCACCTCTGCTCCTCGTACCTCACGCTGCAGGCGGTTTTCATTTCAATAACTGCAAGGCTCCTTAGAGGTCAGGATGTGAAACTGGGCCTCACATGCTGTGGGCATGTTGTCAAGAGAGGCCAGTCCTTGGAAAAAGACACCAAGCTGGAAAAGGGGGAGGGTCAGAGGAAGACCATCAAGAGAGAGGGACATGGTGACTGTAACAACGGGCTGGAGCCTGGCAGGGCGGTGAGGCAGGGGCAGGGCGGTGAGGCAGGGGCAGGGCGGTGAGGCAGGGGCAGGGCGGTGAGGTTCGCATCTGTTGTTCACTGGGAGCTGCAGGTGACTCAATGGCACCCAACAACAACAAAAGGGTCAGGGTAAACACAGGCCCCCAGACTCAGGTGGGAAGAGAGGACAGACCAGGGGCCCTAAAACCTGTAACGGTGGACAACAGACAAGAACAGACTGATAATCCAAGCAGAGGGCTTGAAACTGAGACATACTCAAAACGAAGTGTAAGAAATAAAAATGTCACACAGCTGTGTCCTTCAGTGGACTGGACATCTGGGGAACGTGAGTGTGAAGACTGGGCAGAGGAAACTTCCCAACTGAAAAGCAAAGAGAAGAGAGACTACTGGGGCTTAGGGATGGCAGGGGGAGGGACAAGATTATTTATGAACTGCAGGAATGATAAAAAAGTATAGCATATGCAAAACAGAGCACTAGAGGAGTGAAAGAACATAAGTAGTATTTGAAATAATGACTTCCTCTAAAATTACTGACATTAAAACACAGATCCAAGAAGCCCAAAACACCAAATATTTTGGATATATAACCTAGATATACATTGAAATTTATAATATCTGGTTGTTGTTGTTGTT